GGGTACAATGGATGTCTGGCTCTCGGCAGATGTGAATAGTAAACTCTGTTTGATACCACACGTCTTGGGAACCGGTGAGCTAACGCATCCCGTAAGATACCCTTTTCTCTCTTACCCTTCACGCTACTCCGTACCTTCAACGGCTATCCTGAGTCCTGACTCCTGACTCCTGACCATTGGGGCTTGAGGGTTCGCCGACGTGGCCCATAATACTTTGCCTCTCCTTGCCTTATACACATCCCATCTCGACCTACTCTCAGTCGCGCCCGCTCCCGATCCTCCGCGGAAACGCATGTCGAAGCGCTTTTTGCTCCACGAACATCTCACATAACCTTTTTTCCTCTAACCCTTTCCCTTTTTTCTTTCGTTCCAATTGTGGAGGGGGACATACCCCCGGCAACACCCGTTCTGCAGCGGATTGTGTCAAGTTCCACCACACCGGAGAGTTGCCGCCGCTGCGCTTACGGATTGCGAATTCGGATGCCCGAGTCCAGACGGTCTAGACCACGCCCACAGCTCGAGCCGATGAGCTCGACTCCATCATGGCCGCCGACGATGAGACGCAACGCCAGCCGTCTCCCGTCGTCGACGATGGCAGGGCCCCACGTCCCCCGATCGACCCGGCCGCGGGCGATGGACCTCCGCCGGCAAAGAAGAAAAGGACCCGGACCCGAACGGGTTGTCTCAACTGTCGCCGCAAGAAGCGCAAGTGCGACGAGGGCCGTCCGGCCTGCGGCGGGTGCTCGAGGCGGAAGGAGGTTTGCGAATGGGGTATCAAGGTGACATTCCGGGCCGAGAACGCCCAGACGATATTACAGGATCACCCGTCGATGAAGAAGGCTCGGCGCCCGCCATCTCGTCGTCACTTTGAGATACTCGACGTTACTAGCGAGGTAATTCGCGATTATCATCTGCCGCCCGGCTTTCACGATTACGATTCAGATCGGGAACTTGAACCGGACATTTCGCCCATCGAGAGCGGAACTCACGGCCCGCACCACGAAGACGACGACGCAAAGAACTTTGACAGTCCCGTTTCCTACACGACCTCGACGGCCGGTGTTAACACTGCATCTATCGCAGGATCAAGCACAGCAAAGAGGACACTATCTTCATCTGGACCGAGTTCTGCACCGACGGACCACATTCCCATCTCGGGCTATGGTTCTCTACTGACACCATCGACGCGGCGGGAGGATGCGTCGAGCGACAAGGGACACCCACCAACAGGCGACCGCATGGACTTCCAGGCTTCACCCTCTTCAGCATCACAGGTCATTACTGACAGCGCTGTTGCAAACCTCATCTACCTAAGCCAGGGAGGCGCAGGCCAAGGACCGCATGAACATCCTGTGTCCACCGTCAGTGGTCTGCCCGTTACAACTCTATCCCTCGACCCTCTGTTGGATACACCATTCGACTTTATGGACCAGATGTTCACACCTGAAGGCTCCTACGAAGATGGCATCTTCTTACCGGGCTCGGCATATCATGAGCTCCATTCTACGTTGCGAAACCACCTCATCCAAGAGGTTCGCTCAAATGGCCCTACAAGACCTGCTTCGCCGGCCTCTGGCCAGAACTCCAGACGGAGATCCGTCGACGCCAGCTCCGGGCCGTCTTCGTCCAACGAGGTGGCTGAGACAGTCGGCGAGATATCTTCCGATCATGAGCCTCCTCAGCTTCCCCTGGAGGAGGAATGCGCGCTATGGAAGAACTGGGTGGACGAAATATCGCCCTGGCTGGACAAATTCGATAATCAGCGCCACTTTCAACATTCCCTTCCGACAATGGCTCGGTCACACGATCACTTGAGATACTCTATGCTAGCTCTTTCGGCGCGACAAATGGAGCTAAAAGACAGGAGTCGGCCTACAGACCAGAGCCTGGCTCTCTACCAAGAGGCGACACACCTACTACTACCCCAACTCCCGACACGAACAACAGCCGTTATAGCCTCATGCGTCGTACTTTGCGTTCTAGAAATGGCCAGCTGCTCGCCTAAAGCTTGGCGCAGACATCTCGACGGCTGCGCCAGTTTGATGGAGGCCGTTGGGATGAACGGCTTCGTTGGCGGTGTCGAGCAGGCGCTCTTTTGGTGTTTCGTCCGAATGGATGTCTGCGGTGGCCTCATATCCTCGGTCAAGACCTTGATACCCGTCAACCATTGGGCATCGCCAGTCAACCTCGAAACAGATGTTGGCTTATTCCTCACCAACCCCGGCCACGACATGTGGGCCAATTACGCAGTCTACCTCTGTGCCCAGGTTCTCGACCTACTTGCTCCACTAGCCAAGGCCAACCCAGGCGGACTCTTCTTTGACGGGCCAAGAAATGACATGAGATATCGAGTACGATGGATGAAGCTTTGGAGATACGTGGAGGACTGGCACAGCCGCCGGCCATCCCAGATGCAACACATTATGTCGATACCCTCCTCGGACGCGGAACCCTTCCCAAAGATCTTGTACAGCAACCCCGCCGCCATCTCGGGGAACCAACTATACCACACGGCGTCACTCTTAATGCTACAAAACAGACCGGCCTCGCTACGACTATCACCGAGGCCTCGGTCAGCACTCTGGCACGCCAGGCAGATTTGCGGAATTTCAATGACCAATCACCATCACGGGGCGTGGACCAACAGCGTCCAGCCCCTTTGGATTGCGGGACGTTGCATGAGCCATCCTGCGGAGCATCGCGCGATACTACAGTTACTAGAAAAGATCGAGACAGAGAGCGGATGGGGCACCAAGTGGAGGGCAGATGACCTGAAGGAGTTTTGGGGTGACTTGGGAGACGGTTAGTATCCCGGAGACGAACGAGACAAAGACTTTTTTCTTTTTACGTTATGTTTTCTCTTTTTTCTCTCTGTTTGACTTTTTATGATCTTAAAGATGGAATGAAGTGCTCTGACACTAAATCTCGTGAGAGCAGCTCTAGCCGCTCGGGAAGGCATTGGCGCAACGAGACCTCCACGTAACGCGTCGATATTCAGTGTCGGCTCTAGTATCGGATCAGCATCCAGTCTATGAAGAATACTCCGCGCGTGGCACTACTGTTACTACTACCTTGGTACTTCAAAAACGCGACTCAGTCAAGGAACCCGTCACAGTGGTTCGCAGCACGCGGTCTCCGAACTGCTGGAATCCGAGATTAGCATCAAAGAACAAGCGCCGCCCCTCCTCCTCTCATCCTTCCCACCATCCCCGCCGTTTAACAGTCTGACGTTGGGATCCAATCTGGTCCGAGGAAAGCTGTCCCATGGGACGAGATTGGCGGGTCCAGATGTCGGGACAGGACGGTTTTCCAAGGTCAAAGGCGTGGGTCGCCATCTCCACACTTTCCCTCCCCCCTCCCCCCTCTTCCATCCCCAGGAAGCTGCCCGCGAGTAACACTACTAATACTACGGAGACCAAGTACTACTCCGTAGCGGCTTACTGACGGCAGGCGGAAGCCCCCATGGTGCGGCGTTCATGCGGGATTGCGGAGGAGTGACCAGGGACTGGCTGGGGTGAGAAGAAAAGTACGAGGATGACCTCATTTCCCCGGCTCCTGCTAGGGATGGTTCGAGTGATGAAATAAGCGCGGGTCTTACAGTTACGCTACCCATAAGATGGCTGAGATGTACCTCACTCGACAGTGATGCGATCGGGCGGCAACCCGTGCCGCACTCGAGATGAAGTACCTTGAGATGTGGCTGATCAGATGTGGTTTCACGCGTCCCGGCAGTTGAAGACCACCACGTTGACTGCCATTGCATCGAGTGAGTTAGTTGGTGCTGCCACTGCAGCGTTCATCATCCCGCGTCAAGTGAATCTGTCCAGTCATCAAGTCACAGGGATCTTGCTTAGACGAGGAAGGGGAACACTCGTTTCTACTTGGACAGATTTGCATTGGCAACAAGATCGGAGAATAGTCCGTCAGGGTTTATGGATGAGGCTTGGGGGCCATGAGGGTGTGGCAGGTCGAGCCGCAAGCTTGGTTTAGCGGCTGAGCGGCAACTTGCCTGCTTTATTCTGAACGGGCGCTACGAATGGCCTTTCCTGGAAATTGTACAATCATTAATGAGAGGGCGTCGACACCGGCTGAAAAAGACAGGCGAAGGAAGTCTTCTTCAACCAAATTTGGTCGGCCGTTGGCTGTTCGCTTTACGCCTCGGAGGGAGCCGGAGCACCGAAGAATCAGAGGAGGAATGAACGGGTGAAATCCCACCGGCCACAGTGAAAAAAAAACAAAAAAGAAAAGGCGCTTTCAACTTCCTTGATTTTCTTGCAGAGGGCAGCTCCACGCATCTTTACGCAATGGCCCAAACTCGGCGATTTTGACCCTTGTCCCTGTCCGTTTAGTCCGTCTTAAGACTCTAACCCCTCCGGCAATAGCCCCCCCGGATTCGCAGCCGGGACCTTGGCTTTTCTCTCCCAAGTACTCCGTAATTGCGTAAAGCAAGCCTGTACGGGGGCTGGGCGAGAAAGACGGTTCCGCCTGCATATAGGAAATGCATACAACGTTGTCTGTAACCATATACTTCCTAGTCTCTGATATCGTTGGGAAAAGGGAGGCTGTGAGTGCGAAAAACTCTTCCACGCCCGCATCCCGGAAACTCGCGAGCTTGGAGCAATAGGACAACGGCAACACTGTACAATGGTACAGATCCCCCTCGTCGCGAGTCATTTAGACAGCCATTCTCACCCAACTATGCGCGTCCAACTGCCCGCAGAAACTGTAATCAGGCCAGGGACGGTATTCAAAGTACAACCCTCCTGGTCTTATTCACCCCGTCCGCATGTTGTTTTCGGTTTGGCTTAATCAACCTCCGCGCTGGGGTCCCCGCACTGCGGTTCTCTGTGTGGGGGGGACAGAGAGAGACGCAAAGACTCTTCCTCTCCCATCTCCACGGTGGGAAGAGATGCAGCCGACTTGACACACTTGGGCTTCTACAAGGTTTTGCAGCAATCAAATGACGTTGTTCCGAACGCGGGCCAGCGATATCTAGACGAAGAAGAACAGTCCCGGTACCGACCAAGAGGATTTTGGAGCTAGCGGCTGCAGTGTACCCTTTTTCTCCTTCAACACCAAAGACTCTTTTCCTTTGCTCTGCATGGCATGCCTGGATCTGTACATATAGAACCACGTTCCCCATCCATCGTGAAAAACAAAAGGGGTCCGCTCTCTGTCCACCTCTCCGGCCTCGAGTCATCTCAACTCTTCTTTTCCTTTTAGTCTCATCTCGCGATCAACCCCCAATCGCGTGAGAGCATTTCCATTCCTTCTGCCACGCCGACCTTCCCTTTCCCTTATCGTCACCAATCATACCCCGTTCATCATGACCATCCTCGTCGGAAGGCCTCTCAACTGGGCCATCACGGCCACGGCCGGCTCCGGCTTCCTCCTATTCGGATATGACCAGGGCGTCATGTCCGGTCTGCTCACCGGCTACGCCTTCACCCGGACGTTCCCCGAAATCGACACGACCAACGGCGGTGGCGGCAGTTCTTCGTTGCAGGGCACTGTCGTGGCCATTTACGAGATTGGGTGTTTCTTTGGTGCAATCTTCTGCCTGCTCGTTGGCGAGAGGCTCGGACGCCGCAAGTGCATCATGCTGGGGTGCATTGTTCTGAGTATCGGTGCCGCGCTGCAGGCATCTGCTTTTGGGATCCCGCAGATGATTGTGGGACGTATCGTTGCTGGGCTTGGTAATGGCATGAACACTAGTACTATTCGTGAGTCACTCTTTCACAACTTTTTTCAAGTTCAAAGATGAGGCTAATACCAGACAGCTGTGTGGCATTCGGAACTCATGAAGGCGGATAATCGTGGCAAGGGTCTCGCCATTGAATTGGCCATCAATATCTTTGGCGTCATGTCCGCATACTGGGTTGACTATGGCATGAGCTACGTCTCCAACGACGCTCAATTCCGCTTCCCTCTCGCCCTGCAGATTCTGTTCGCCCTAGTTACCTTCCTCGGAATCATGGTGTTGCCCGAGTCTCCCAGATGGCTCATTGCCCACGATCGCCACGACGAGGCCAAGCACATCCTCTGGGCCGTGGAGAAAGACGCCACGTCTATCACCGAGAACGAGCCCAAGCTGGAGCGAAACCTGGCCGAGATTCAAGCTGCCATTAGAGAGGAACGGGAGGCTGCCAACACTAGCAGCTTCAAGATGATGTTCAAGAACGGCGACCAGAAGTTCCTCTACCGAACTTTGCTGGGTATCGGTGGCCAGTTCATGCAACAACTGAGTGGTATCAACCTGATCACATACGTAAGCTTTCTCCGCTGCTCGCCCCTAAAGTTTGGGCAGATTTGACAACCACTTCCATCTAAACCATGATGCTAACCTGTCCCAGTACGCCCCAGTCATCTTCCAGGAGTCTGTCGGCATGTCACACAACCTCTCTCTCCTGCTCGCAGGGTTCAACGGCGTCGCCTACTTCTTCTCCTCGCTCATCCCGATCTGGATCATCGACCGTCTCGGCCGTAGAAAGCTCATGCTGTTCGCCGCCGCCGGCCAATGCGCCTGCATGGCCATCCTCGCAGGCACCGTCTCCAACGGCAGCGTCCCCGCCGGAATCGTCGCCATCGTCATGCTCTTCCTCTTCAACTTCTTCTTCGCTGTCGGCCTGCTCGCCATCCCCTGGCTTCTGCCCGCCGAATACGCGCCCCTCGCCATCCGTACCCGCGCCGCTGCCCTCGCGACCGCCTCAAACTGGATCTTCACCTTCCTCGTCGTCGAGATCACGCCAGTCAGCATCAAGAGTATTGGATGGAAAACCTATGTCTACTTCTGCATCTTCAACGCCTTCTTCATCCCTCTCATCTACTTCTTCTATCCCGAGACGCAAAACCTCAGCTTGGAGCAGATCGACAAGCTTTTCACGGGCGGCAAGGTGCAGCTGTACTGGAAGGCGAGCATGGGTACTCCTGGCGAAGGGTCCCACGTTCTCAACGAGAAGGACTCCGAATCCGGCTCTGGAGATGTTCTTCGCGTGGAGAACAAGGAGGAATTCACTCACTAAGGTGGAAGTCACAGTCGAGAGAGGGGTGACATGTAATAAACGATTAGGCTTCTGCCTACAGGATTGAGAAGGGGTTTGCAATTTGTTTAGGAGGTGGTTCATGATATCCAACGGTCTGCGTGCCGTACAGCAGAAAAGGAGGTGTCTCATTGTGCAGACAGAAAGAGTGGAATAATACAATTTTTCTCAAATTATCAAGCTACGCTTCCGTCCTCAAAGCTTGCTATCCTTGTACACCGGCTTTCTCTTTTCGACAAAGCTCTTGACGCCTTCAGTCATATTTTCTCCTGCCTCCATCTTGCGATAAATCGTCTGATCAATGTAACCCGTAGCCTCTACCGGGCCCATCGGCTCCCAACCAGTCTTCAGCCCCTCTCTTGAGACAATGATCGAGTCTGGTGAGTTTCTCGCAATGGCCTCCGCGGCACTCAGCGCGGTCTCCATCAAATCGTCGGGCTGCACAACCTTGTTCACGAGGCCCCATGACACCATTTCTTCGGCAGTGTAGTCTGTTCTCCCAATCAGCGCCATTTCCGTGGCGCGCTGGCGGCCCACCGACTTGATCAAACGAGGGAGAGCGCCAGCAATGGCGATAACACCGATAGTCACCTCTGGAAGTCCAAACTTGGCCTTGGTGGACGCGTACACCAGGTCCGCGTTGATGATCATTTCCATACCGCCGCCGAGGCATATACCATTGACGGCAGCAATCACGGGCTTCTTCCCACCGCGATTCGACAGTCCGCCGAAGCCGGCGGTGGAAGGCCACTTTTCACCTGGCTTGGCTTCGGGGTGGTCTGCCGTCACCACCGGAGCCTGTGGGGCTGGGTCCGCGCTGACGGAAGTTGGGTTGTTGGATTGACCCGTGGTGTTACGGATGTTCCACTCTTTCAGGTCCGCACCGGCGCAGAAGGCGCGACCGGTGCCCGTCAGAACGGCACAGCGGAGGGAGGTCTCGGCGTCGTACCACTCGTAGAGGCGGGCGAGGTTGTAATGGAGTTCCGAGTAGATTGAGTTCAGGTGGCGGGGCCGGTTGAGGGTAATTAACATGATGTGCTGGCGGGGGAAGGAGACGGCGGCGTCTGGGCCGATGTCGGGAGGAGGGCTGGCGAAGTTGGGCGTGTAGGACATTGTGAAGGTGAAAGACGTGTAGTGTTACCCGTACAAGGGACTTCGTAAAGCTCGTGGATGAAATTGGTTGAGGCGGAGGCGGAGTCGATGTCCAGAGGAAAGTCAGATTGTTTCGGCGGGTTCAAGGTTAAGAGGACAGGTTTTGAAGTATGCTGAGTTGTATTCGTTGTATGTCACGCGTGATAAGTGTGGTTAAGTACCGATTGTGTCAATGGAGTCTTTGAGAGTTGGATATGGCGAGTCGTATTAAAGGAGCCGATGAGGAATGCACCACCTAGAGTAGCGAGGTTGGGGGACATCCGGGGTAAACATGATGTGTTACGACCACTTGCCTCGGCTCGCTTGAGTAATCGGTACTGGTTTCCGTGCGGGGTACACCGAGCTCGGTGTGGGGTGGTGAGGTGAGACCTGGGTTTAGTCTGTGGAAATGTTGGGGAAATGGAGACACTAGGAACACCATATCCACCTCCCACGCCCGAGTCGAGTTTGGAACCTATTGATAAGTTAAGCATGCGCACGGCATCAGTTCGACGGCAAGAAATCTTGGCTTTGGGGCTAAACTGGCTGTCTCCGATTTATGAGGTCTCAAACAGATTGGCTTCCCTACGAAGGTCTTGTCACCAACGCTTCATAACACCTTCGGGTAGGACTAAGAGAGTACCTTCCTTGTAGCTGGTGAGTATTCATCGAGTCTCGCCGTAACCTTCCAATCGTGTTCTAAGATGAATAGTGTATTACCATGAATGCGTCGCTTTCGATTGGTAAGACTTCTTTGTCTTTGGACAGGTTGGCCTTCTACAAGCACACGACCGCGATCGAGGTGGCCTCCTGCTTCCTCTACAGGGTAATCCAAACTTCAATATTGGTTCTTAACCTGAACTCCGATATTGTACAAGGATTTCAGAGCCAAAAATCAAGTTTTTGAAATGTTTAAAGTACACATAGGAGGTCATAGAATTTCGGCAGAAGACCTTTACTAGACGTATTCCATGTTGAGAATTCATTTGTGGACATTTGATACCAGCCGTTTAGTTCAGTAAGCGGACACTTACCATGCACGCCCTTCTTATACTGAGCATTGAATTCATAGCTTTATATCCTTTTCAAATAAAAGAGATACCAGAAGCCAAACAGTTCGACAGCTGGTCCATCCATAAGACACCCTACGCTGTGATGTCACTCCTAAGAGACGAAGACGCCTCGATGATCGTGTCGGAACTTGATGACCACAGCTGTTCTCCAGAGTCACCATCCCGGGAAGGGATGTGCAGTTGAGGCAATACTAGTAGTTCAATTATTCCGGTCGCCAGGTACCCACTATGAGAACCGGCCTGTTTCGTCTCAGCGATGTCCGAATGGCACATTATGACCATTGTGCTACAATGTCCGAACTGATTCTTGCATGCAAGCCCCTGGAGAATAGCAGTTTCGTCGCAAGTCAAGACTCCAAGCCATAAGATCAGCTGGTACAGATCTCTTGGACCTGTATGTCAATCAACTTATTACTGAAGCCGAATTTCAGATCGGATGGAACCTGATGGAATGAACTTCTGGTTCTCAAACGGCACTTCGTAAACTTGTTATTAGTGGAGTTGATCAGTATCGTGGAAACATTCATATCACGCAATTACTCCACGTTGACCACAGAACGGGCGTTCTCGTACGGACAACATGCACCATTCTTGGAATAGTCATTAAGTCTTCTCATCTTGCGTGGCCTGGCTCTGTCCAAACATGCATAAAGCGAAACTGTGGCAGAATCCGCGTGCAAGTCCATGGGCAGCATGGCGGAGTGCTCGGAATGCCCGGCGGCCTGGGTGGGAGGCAGCATATGAGCAAGTAATATCAACGACAGGTCGGTAATATGTGTAGGGCGGAGAGAAGATTTAGACTAATCGTCCGAAGATCCCGAATTCGACTCCATGGAACCATGACCCCGTACGTCCTAAGACGGCGAACATCATGTAACGAAACTCGAACTTCTTGGCCAAAACTCCCTGAATTGACTCGAATGCGTCGTCTCCTCGACCCCTGACAAGCCACACCCCTGTTTGACGAGCACCGAATCGTAAAGTCTCCGACTAAATACTGCCCCGGACTACTCCAGCAACAGCGAGCCAGAATAAACTTTTTTTGGAGCCCTCTTTGAGCGAACTCCCTTTTTGCCCAGCACACCATCTCACAGACCTGGGCAAGTGTCAGCATTGTCGCAATGCGGCTCTGGATTTTGACTTTTACACCCAAAACATCAGACTGCACTGCAGAATCATGCCAAAACTCCCGAGTCAGAGAAGGGGGAAACTTCGTCGCAAGTCTGCGGACAGATGCAGTCTGAAGTCTTGAACTCTATGTTCGGATGGCATGGGAACGATGGCGATGTTCGCAAGCAGCTCTTGCTGATAGCATATATCATCATGGGCGTCGCCTTAGGAACCCCATGATGGAAGAATACTAATCATCACTTTCTCTTGACACAACGGGCTCAACTCTCTTTTTCGCTTCTCTTTTGCAACTTACTTTCTTTTTGCGCAGTGCCGGCCATTGCTCTTCTCTGCATCCATTCGTTTGTAAACGCCAGAAACGTTAATCTTCACATTCTCTAGAGTGTCCCGACATCTAAACATAAATCACAATGAAGCCCTCCTTCCTTACCCTTGTTGGTCTCTTGGCCGCCTCTGTGGCTGCTAACCCCGTTCCTGCCAGCGGTGGTGCTGTTCTTGCACCCAGAGGCAACGGAGCCAACAACAACAACAACGGTGCCAACGCTGCGAAGGGCAAGCAAAATGGCAAGAAGAATGGGAACAACGGCGCCGCTGGAGGTGCGGCAAAGAACGGAACTGCTAATGCCGGCGGTGCTGCTGGTGGCGGTGCTGCTGCTGGTGGCGCCGCTGCTGGTGGTGCTGGTGCAAAGGCTGGCAACACTTCCGCTCTTGTCTTGCCTGATGGACGTATCAAGGCAGATGCGACACCCGAGAACTTCAATGTCCTCGAGAGTGTGTTCAAGAGTGCTGTTGTCAAGGGCGATGGTAAGTGATCCTTCATCCGTCTTGATGTCGAACCATTAAGCTGAAACTTGATCAGGTCTTGTGTTCAGCGACATCATTACTTTCCCCGAAGGCCAGGCCTCACTTGTAAGTATTGAAGCCATTTCATCACAAATATTAGACTTTTGCTTATAATTACTAGTTCGACAAAGCCACCAACACCAAGGCTTTCGCCATCAACATTGATGACAAGTCGGTCTTCGTCCCCAAGGGTGGTGAAGCTCAGTCGAACATTCGTCGTGCCGATCTGCTCCCCAGCATCAGATCTCAGCTCAACGACGTGGCTGTCACTGGTGTTCGCACTATGCACTTTTCCATTCAGCGCGATGCCACCAAGCCCCTCAACGCATCCCACGACTATCAGGTCTTCAACCTTGAGTCCAAGGATTTCTCCTTCCACCAGATCGATGTCCGTACTGGAGCCGACAACGGCAACGAGATTGCAGTCTTTGGTAACTCCAAGACCACTCCGCCTGCAAAGATCTTCTCAACTCCGTTCGGCGAGGGACAATTTGAGAACTTTGCGATCAAGATGGACTTCACTGCCAAGTATGTGCTCCTCTTTGAAATATTCCATCCTACAGTTGGCCAGTTTGACTAACAGCGTTTCACAGCACCGTCCAAGTGTTCCACAGCACCGCTAATGAGCCCTTGAAGCAGGTCACCGAGCCTGTCGCCAATGGTAAGTTCCCTTCCCAAGCACAGAGTGTGGCCAACCTAACATCATGCAGCTCTCGACGGCCTTGGTGAATACCACTTCTCTCTGCAGAAGAACCCCGTTGGAACCGCAACCCAGCCCACTGGCATTAAGGAGGCAATTATCTTTGGCGGCATCTTCATGGAGGACTCCACCTCCGGAACGGTTACCCTCCAGTAGTCACTTTAGTTGCTCAACCCTATCCTTGATTATTTTTCTGCAGCAGAGAGCTGTATCTTAAAGCCGACACCAGGCGCCAAGAATCAATTTTCAATGCAGATTACACCGCATAAGAGTACTGGAATTGCCAATGTGAATCATGAACTCCCCCCCCCCCCCCCCCCCCCCCCTGAAACTGATGAGAATATTATGTGACACGTGAATAACTCAACTACACGTGCATATTGACCAGATTGTTTATGCACCATCTTCCAACTGGCTACTTACCCTTGGAAACAGATTATCGCCAAGCCCGATGACATCAGCTTTTGATCATACACTGCATGTTGCTTATCTTCTATAATGAGACTCTTGTGGAGCATATTACATGATCTTGATAATTCCAGTCTAGACGTCTAAAGTCCCGGTGACACGCGCAACGCCGTAGGCCACTGACAAACATACAAGCGAAGAAATCAGAAGACCTTTTCCCTGCGCATGAAAACACTGCACACCAAGCAAATCGCCCCAGCAGCAATGATTGGCACATACGCCAGTTGGATTGCTCGAGTGATGCCATGGATTGCCTCGGCTCTAACCTCGGGTGAGGCCGAGTCGATCAAGCCGCTCCCAACACCCGCGAGAGCGTCAGAGATCACGTCAGCAGAGACATTGGGGAATACTTGCGCCAATGCACGTTGGCCATAGTTGACGAAAAGCGCCCCTGACATTCCCGTGCCGAGGACGATGCCGATCATTTGGCCCACAGTCATGAACCCTACACTGTAAGGGATCTCGTTCGGTTGAACCTTCATCTGGGCAACTGCAAATCCGGCCTGGCAGAAACAACCGACACCTGTGCCTAAGATGATAGTGTATCCGTAGATCTTGGCATTTGAGGTATGTTCGTCGACAATATCTGATATAAAAGGTCAGAGTATTTCAATACGCGCCTATAAAGGAGGGCAATGACTCACACAGCAGAACACCGCCGATAAGTTCGAGGGCTGAACCAGCAATGTACCATGGGTAGTAATACCCAGTGCGTCCCATAAATTGTCCATTGAGTAGGTTGAACGCGACCAGAAACAAGATAAAAGGTAAAAGATGGACAGATGTCTCAACTGCTGAGATTCCGCGGGTGAACTGATAGTATAGCGGCAGGTAGAAGATGCCAATGAAGCTTCCGAAAGTCGCAAGCACTGATAGTCTGGGATTAGCGATCGCGAAGATTGGGCAAAGAGTGGAGAGCAACACGGACTCATCGTGAAGAAAAGGCAGATCATGGTTCGGCTCTTCCAAAAATGCATGGGAAACAGACGATTCTCCCTTGATGTGCCAATAAAGTAGACTTGCTGCAAGACGAAGAGAATAGTCAAAACACCTGCTGCCACAAACAAACCAATGCTTTCGCCCTCGTCCCAACCCCAGAGAACCCCGCCAAAATTCATGGCCATGATAACGCAGAGCATTGCGCCGATGGAGAGAACTGTGCCAAGGTAGTCAATCTGCGCCAAGCGTTGAATGAGAGTCACGCCAGCTTGCGGTTTGAAGTCGGGAAGTAGGATAATGTAAATGGGTCCCACGACGGCACCCACCAGAAGGTTCAGATAGAAAGCCCAACGCCAAGTTGCTTTGCTCTCGCTGATGGCTCCTCCAACCACAGGGCCAAGAACAGTGCCAATACCCCAGATGAATCCAGTGAGACTCAGATATTTGGGGCGTTCGACATTGGTGGTCGTCACTGACAACAGTGTGAGAAGTCCCATGTACATTCCACAACCACCCGCACCCGCAATTGCGCGACCGACAATAAAGGAGTTGATGTCGGGAGCGGCGCCGCAGAGTGCGGAAGCGGCCATGAAGACAGTTGTAGACCCAAGATACAGCTTCTTAGCCGAGAACGTTCCATATGCCTTTGACCAGGGTAGAGTTGTGGCGGCCGAGGCCAATGCGAAGGAAACTCCGAGCCACGGGACGAGATCGACGCGGTGATATGTTTGGACGACTTTTGCTTGAACATTGGCGACAACTGTGTTGTCTAAGGCGTAGAGGAACAAGGCCGAGAGGAGAGCGCAGATCACAAGAAACCACTGAGAAGCAACTAGTTTAGCTCAGTCTTCGGAGGGTCCAGAGGAAATGGAAAGGGGCTGAGGGTGTTTGGGAGGCCGATACAACGCACCTTTACACCGTGGATTGTTCGTGGCGGGTCAGCGTCTTCAGTGTCATTGAGAGCCTGGGTGTCAACAGGTTCTTCTTTGCGAGATGGCTCGGAGGATGGCGAAGGTGGTGTCGGAACACCTTCATCACTTCGCGCGGCCTCTTTCTTCTCCAAATCGGCCATGTTTGTGAATCCAAATGGAAGCTCTCAAAGATTTTGAAAAGGTTGCTTTGCAACAAAGGTTCAGGGGGAAAAAAAGGAAAATCTTCTGAGATCACCTTCTGGTAGCTTGACCGGATTCCAAATGTGACGTCTAGGTCTCTTCACGGCGGCTTCGTATATGTAACACGAGCAGAGTAGAGTACAGACATCATCTGTCTGTTGACTAGGATGCAGCAAAAACTTTGCAAGCAAACAAAAACTCCACGGCGATTAGAAATCAGCTTGCCGAATGTGGAAGTGTCACTATTGCGAATCGAGAATACTACCTATGGCGAATCTCTCTTAAACGGGTAGTGGGCCTGAACCCCCGGTCCGGGCCGTCGTAAGTAGGATCCGCGATGCGGCTTTGCCGCGGAAGACCCCTAGGATTTGCTGCAGTGCTAAACTTTAATATCGCTGCACTGTGTGACAAGTTGACATTGTGTGGCTGTTGACAAGGCTAGTGCCCAGGTTTGTCGATGAGGTATAAGCCATGGGTGCTTTGCATCATCGCGCCCTGGAAACGGTTACGTGTTGTGGGAGACCCCCACGGAGAGATGTTTGGAAAGCTTGCCAAAAGCAACAACGAATAAGCAACTCATGTGACTTGGACGTCGAGATCATGTCATTACCCCTTTCACTTTGCCATAATAGAAGGACAGCTCCGTTGTTGTAAGACTCGAAGTTGCAAACAAGTCTCTGTTTTGGACCCCAAACTTATTTACACCATTTGTTCTGTCGAGACTTCGGAGTCGAGCCAATCATCATGATCATCACGCGGTCCCAGCCTACGGCTGACTCGCCATCAACTGTTCGGCTCCATTACCCCCAGGCAGAGGCAGCAACTCAGGTTGTCGACCCTGGCAAAGTTCTCGTGTCTTTCCTCGTCTCTCCGATCAACCCACAAGACTTGTTGGTCATTGCGGGTCGATATCCCGTGAAACCATCTTACACCCACGATGGCGAGCCGATCTTAGGTTACGATGGCGTCGCGCGAGTTGAGGCCGTAGGAGCCGAATCCCCGTCCTCCACGACCCCGGCCTCAACGCTACGGCCCGGCGATCTCGTCATCCCGCGCCGCCATGGTCTAGGAACTTGGCGAAGCCAGACTACTCTCAACTCTGTCGATGTGATCCGCCTTTCGCCTACCGAAGATCTTGTTGGCGCATCGCTCCTTCGGATGGCTTTTTTGCCTGCCTACCTTCTCGTCGAGGACGTGAAAGCACTGAAGCCTGGCGACTGGATTGTCCAAAACGTAGGATCCGGGACTATTGCGCGATTGGTGTCTCAATTTGCGCGCATCAAGGGGGTCCATACTATCAGCATCGTACGCGACCGCAGTCCGGACTCTTTGGAAGCCCTAAAGGCCGACTTGTTGAACGAGGGGGCTGAAGCTGTCCTTACCGAGTCTGACCTTCAAGCACGAGGTGCCGGTGCGCATCCTGCTCTCGCCGACGCAGCGGGCCGCAACCGCGTGGCGCTAGCCATCGATGGCGTCTTCGGGAATCCTGGAGAGCGACTCGCGTCTTTGCTTTCACATGGAGGGACCTATGTTAACTATGGATCTCTTGGCGGGGCGGATGGGGTTGTGTGTCTTTCGCAGCGCCTCTTGTTCTGGTCTGAAATCAAGTTCCGCAACTTTCGTCTTTCTGAGCAACTCAGTCAGCGGACGCCCGCGCAACTGGAGTCTCTCCTGCTTTGGTTTCAGCATCTACTGGCCCAAGGTGCCCTGGTGACACCTAATGTACAGGCAATCCAAGTCCCGGTGTCGACTGAGGGAAGGAATGACTTCGAGCAGAGCTTCAATGCTGCCGTATCTCTTGGTCCTGGAGAGGGCATAGGAAACTTGAAGCGCGTGCTGAAGTTTACCCATAGTTTGTAGAGAACTTGAACCAGGTGTACAAATCGACTCAAATAAACTGAAATCAAAAATGTTGCTGTATCTATACATCGGGATCAGAAGTGCATCTAAGATAACTTTGATTCTATTCTTGACAAGAGTCAGCCCCAAATCAAGTCGACGGCAAAAATAACATTGCACCTTGACCCAATTCCATGCAACATGGGTACTTTACGCACGAGCAGGCGAAAGAGATTCAGTTTACTCGCATAACCCACTTCAATTGCTGATCCTAGTCTGTACATACAACTTCAGTCGACATACTGCTTTTCCTTCTCAATGGTCTTGGCGTTGTACTTGCGCAGCTGATCCTCCAACCCCGGGATCGGCTCATCAAAGTCAATGCGAGCACTATTCATAAATCTGGCCAAGAAACTATAGATTCCCTGCACGTAGAAGATCTCCGTAATCTCCTCGTTACTGAATGTTTTCTTGGCTTCCACAATGGTCTCTGTATCAACCTTCTCTTCGCGTCCGAGAGTCGTAACAATGCGCCCCAAAAGGCGTTGACGCACAGTGAAAAGACCCTCTGGCAAATCTTCATCGGCCTTGCGAAGAGCAGTGAACTGTTCCTCGGAGAAGCCAAAAATACGAGCAACGGGCTCGTTCACGTCCCACTCATAAGGAGCATTCAAGGTAGCTGCTGTACGTAGAACGATGAGTTGCCAATCGGTGGAGCGGATCTGTCGTTGTTCGCTCCAGGCCGAGGACAGGAGGTTCATGAATGGTTTGAAGAATACATTGCTGTTTGCGAGGAGCTGTTTCCATTAGAGTCAAATTCGAGGTCTTCAAAGTCTCCCGGCCGCCTTGGGATCTCTGCGGGGTCTCAATCGCACCTTGAAGACATTCCTCTCAAATGGAAGAGTTTGAAGAGCAGCCTTAATGTCAGGCGGAGCTGTGCTTGAGTCGACGTAGGGCAGCAAGTGCTCGTTCGTGACAGTACGATCATCCCAGGAAGCCATAATTGCAGATAATGATGTCAAAAGCTTGTAAACAGCTGGAGGACTTGGGATTAATGAGTTGCAGAGTTGATTGTTGTAGATCGTGGTGACGAAGAGACTTACAACCATCCGGCCTTTAAACACCGTTGAGACTTATCTTCTGTCAAGGTTATCAACCCAATGCCATTTTCTTCCCAACTTGCATCATCCTACCAATGGCGCCATGTATTGAGCAGATGATGACCTGCTTCACACTCCGGCCGTTGAACATGGTCATATGTTAGAGTTTGAGTCGAAGCGGTTCTATTGTCTGCGGCTCAAGCCTCCGGTTCGTCTAATGTGGAGAACGGACAAGGAAGATGGCCAAGAAGAACACAGTTGGGCGAACACTGTGCGCGCGGGGGTTACATCTTCGTCTTGTTGAAGACTCATGTGATTCAGGAACAGCAACCCTGTTAGCAAAACCATGTTTTTTCTGCAACTTCAACCTATTTAGGGGTTTCGTAATATGATGACCCCTTTCGGTTAAGATCTCTCCTCATATTACCGACTACGTCTCTCCGATCGACAGGGTATGTCGCATCAACTATTAGATGGCGTCAGTAAAAATGTACGTACTTCAATAGGGTAAAAAACGAACAATCTGATAATCCGATCCTATCTCCCTCATATCCACCTATGAATAGTCTCAAAGTAAAGCAGAAGTAGAGAAAGACTGGAGACGGATGTAGTGACGCCATTCAACAGTCGTTGTGATAGCAGATATTCTCATGCACAACATGGGTAATGTCTTCAAGAGCCATGTTCGTCGCTCCTGCCCCACTTCCGTCCGGGGCCTTGAATAGCATCTAGTCTTGATGCTAAGCTCTCTTAATATCCAACGATATTGCTGGGCCGGGGTGATTCACTCTGGTTTTGTGATGAGAGATGACTCGTATGATTGATCCGAGAATCATCTGCATATGTTCTTTCTCATGTCGCCATCCGTTACAGCTTACGAGGGACGGCTGGAACCGGCGGCTCCCGGGGTTCTTGCCGTTCTTTGCGGCACAAACTGACGAGCATCGGTTCGATCGTCGTCAAAAGTTTCCGTTGTATTCGACACCGGCTGGAAGAAGGCATTTTCAAGCAGGCCGTGAGGCCTAGAATGTCTCTTTACACCGTTACCATGAGCCATTTTCCTACAACCTCCACGCCGAGCGTGACTCTTCATGCAACAGCAAAAGTGCCATCACAACAGACAAGTTCGGCTCCATGTTGACATTCTCAGTTTTCAAGCAGAGTAGGATGCGAAGACTGAACCGGCTTTATCGGGAAAGGACTGTAACTCCGCAAAGACTGACTCAAGTCGGAGTTTCAAGCTGTCTAGATGCGTCTTAGAAGGGTTCTTCCTCGCTATCACGCGGTGATGGCTCCTTTGATCTGGGGCGATACATCTACAAAGTTGCCCGGCTCTAGCCCCAGTATCGGTGGTATGAAGTTGCAGACAGGTCACTAGGGCCAGTGTTTTGACTCGGAAACGCATCCATGTTGACGTAGCGCCGGATTTGAGGCATGTTTGTAAAGTTGGCATCGATGTTGAGGACGAGGGCTGGAGGGAGCACGCCATAACTTTACCACGAGGAGTCTGCGATGTGACTCAGGATCGTTCTCACACAATTGCTAAGCTTTGAGAGGGCTCTCGCCTCTACATTCGCAATCATCTAGGAAACTGACGAGATCCATTTCCTGGTAGCGGAAAGTCGGGAGATGCGGCCACGCCCAGGATGACCTTGATCAAACTTGCCGCAGATGGTGACATGGGAAGCCCAAAGTTGCTTCCGCGCGGGGGTGACTATGGCATGACAGTGGTTCAGGCATCTAGAGCTGTATGCTGATGGAACTCCCATGCTGTTGGTTATGGAGAGTTTCCATCGGAGGCAAGAGCAACGGGCTGACGAAAGAGCGACGACCTATTGATTGGAACGCTTCAGATTGTGGCACAAATGCACAAATAATTTGAATTCTCTAGTATCATTTATAAGCTGAATCTCACGCCCATGATACCGGAAAACAACACATCATAGAACCCAACGAACCTTTGTGCCTTCAAACTGCAACATTTGTGTATTCCTTTCCTAAGTCTTCCACTCTACTGAACCTTTTATTACCCGCCTACCTTTGACTACTACGATGCAGTTATTTCGTCATATCGAGAAGCATGAAGACTTCTTCCTCCCCAGCCCTGATGAACTTGCTTTCGGTATTCACGACAAATCTTTCAGTAAGGAAAGTGCGTTAGCCTTTTCGGAGGTCGAAGTCAGTTTTCCTGCGACAGAGATTCAGCAGGAAGTTCTCGGTGAAGATGTTCAGTGGGCAGAAGTTGAACTTTTTGCCGGGAAGCCATCTTCCTTTGGTCTCGAAAACGTCTTCAACGCTTGGAACTCTCTAGCGTCACACCGTAAGTTCTATATCTGTCTTCTTCTCAAAATTTCTTCGATCACTAGCTCATTCCTGACTCCTTCGATCAGATATCTGCCTTAGATCTTACATCACCAAAGACACCGACTCAGGCCAAATGCACGTCGTAGTTCTCCGCCGGGTCGAGGGCATTCGATGGGACCATCCGGACAAGAGTCTCACTGAACATAGTCAGACTCCAGCTTATGTGACTGTTGAGAGTACTCGCCGTCGGGACGGTATCAGCCTGGTACTTCATTTTCATCGTGCTCTGATTGATACAACATCTTTGCACATGATCAAGCTCGACTATGCTCTTCAAGTACATGGGCTACCCGGCCTTGAGACTGCTGGATTTGCCACATATATCCGATATCTCGACCAAAAAAGACAACATGCTAGAGCCTCCAAGGCTTTCTGGACTGAAACCATGGCCGAGGTCGTCCCCCCATCCGTATTCAGTGCTCACGCTGATGAATACACCCAAAGCACCAACAGGGGCAGGCATGGTGTCAGCGCTGTCATCAGCGGGCCGGAACTAGCGCAACTCAATGATCTCGAAGCTCACCACCGCCTGGGTTCTTGGCGTCAGACGTTTTTCGAGGTCGTTTGGGCACATGTGATCAGTACTCACACTGGCTCTGACGATGTCGTCTTCGGTACAGTTCGACGAGATGAGAGCTTCATCGGCTCAGATACTTGCGTTGGGTGCGTTGATCAGACATATCCCGTCCGCTTCCATGTTGAGAGCGACGAGGGTTTAGCTATCAGTGAAGCTTCCAAGGCTCTCGATGTCTACCACTCTCAAGCTGGTCGCCACGCATTCATCGGACTCGAGGAAATCCAACGTCAGGCCCCAACCCTTAGTTCGGTTGAGACTGCTGTCAGTTACAGTCAAACGACGAATACACCATGCATCGCTCCCGGGCTGCGAAGGTTCCCTGTCGTTCTATGCATCAGCGACAGTGGGGTGCTGAGGCTCACTCTCAAGTGTAAGGCCTATATTCCTCTTGAAGAGATTGAGGTTGTGCTGCAACACTTCGTCTCCGGTATCATCAGTGCCGCGGCCAAGTTGAAGCTTGCAGACGACTGCAAGCTACTAGGGTCCGATCTTGTATCGGAAGATGAGCTACGCTCCATCATGTCGCAGTCCTTGTCTAAACGCAGTGCCGACCCTACGACTATCCATCGTCTATTTGAGAAGACCGCCGCTGCGTTCCCCGAGAGAACCGCACTTGAGTCTGAAGGCAGGGCACCTGTCACATATCTCACGCTCAACAGCCAAGCCAATCTGCTGGCGAGAAGGCTCAAGTTGGAGAAGGGATCGTTCGTGCCCATTCTGGCTGAAAGGTCTTTGGAACTTGTTATCGCAGTCTTGGCCGTGCTCAAATCTGGGGCAGCCTACACTATTCTCGATCCCGAAACTCCCCTCAGCCGCCTAGAGCAGATTATAGACGATCTCAGTCCTGCTACTATCCTAGCTAGCCATCGATTCGTCGATGTACTTCCCAACGCCTCAGACATCGAGCATGTTCTCTCTTCTTCGGGAGATAGCCTAGCTGTTCCTTCATCTGATGAGTCGGCCAACCTTGGTGTCGAGATCCATCCCGAAGACCATTGTTACGTGATATACACCTCCGGTAGCACAGGAAAGCCCAAGGGTGCCCTACTCACACATCGCGCGGCTGCGAGCGGCATAGCGCACCAGTCTCTGAACGGACTTGAACGGTGGCTTCTATTCTACAATCCCAGCTTCAGCGCTGCTCAACGCACAATTTTGGGAACGCTTGTCCATGGAGCGACCTTGATCCTTGCCAGCAAGGAGTCTCTGAAAATCGACCTTGCTGGTGTCATCAACAGCTTCTCAGTAGACTCTCTTGGCATCACTCCGTCTGCTCTGTCGCTGTTACAGCCCGAGGAGGTACCTAGTCTCAAGCAAATTACCTTGGTGGGTGAGCAGATTTCGCGAGATCTTGTTGAGATCTGGTCAGCACGAAAGGGCCTACATCTGAGAAACACCTACGGGCTGAGCGAATGCACTCAGCTCAACTTTGGAAAGGAGCTTCAACTATCACCTGGAGGTGCTTTCAACCATCGCTTAGTCGGCTATCCGGCCGATACTACTGATGCATTTGTTCTAGGCCATGATGGTGAACAACTTGCGCCTCTTCTTGTCGCGGGCGAGCTTTGTCTTTCTGGTCCACAGCTCGCTGAAGGCTACCTCAATGAGGCAGCGCTCACCGCGCGCGCCTTTGTCGACAACCCCTTTGGTGCCGGCAAGCTTTACCGGACTGGTGACAAAGCCCGTCGACTTGCGGATGGTCAGATTGAGATCTTGGGACGAGCGGACATGCAAGTCAAGATCAATGGCCAGAAGGTTGAGCCCGCAGAGATTGACCGGCTACTGCGATCCGTTGATGCTATCGCCGCATCTGTCACTTTGGGCATCAGTCTGAACGATCGCAGAGCACTGGCTTCAGCCATCGTCCTTGCAGACAAATCCATCTTCAGAACGTCAGTGACCTCTGCTAGAGAGCTCTTACACCAGAGCTTGCCTGCCTACATGGTGCCCAGCATCTGGTTCCCTGTGAAAGAGATCCCCAAAAACGCCAATGGGAAGATCAACTACGCTTTTCTA